CTTGCAACAGAGAAGTGGAGGAAGAGTTAGAAGGCACAGACGTGCAGGAGGAAGGGAGTGATTTAATGCCATCTACTCTACCAAATACATCTCCAGAAGAAGTTGTGCAAGAATGGCTGAGTAAAATCCCTTCAGAAACATTGCTTATGAAATATGAAATGGAGGACGATGCAGAAGAGGAATGTGTAGGGGCAACCACTGAGGTATCATGCTGTACAAATGCCGAGGAAATCTCAGAGGATGAAAAAGATGGGAAAAAGAATGTGGAGGAGGCTGAAAATGAGACAAAGGATGAAGTGGGAAAAGAGGCAGCAGAAGGCACTGCTATTAATGAAGAGGCTGAAGAATGCGTGAATCAGGAACAAATCTCTGAGGTTGTTTCCGAAGCTGCCAAGGCTGACCAGGCAGAATGCAGCCAGTCAGTTACATCCAGCCAAAATAACAACAGAAGAGATTTGCCAACCTCTGTCCAGACTTCAGTCCAGATCATGAAGGCCTTGCTCAGTTCAAAACATGAAACAAAATTTGACCGATCAAACAGTTTGCCTGAAGTGTCCCCCACTATGGGGAGAAAACTGAGTAACTCTGCCAACATTTTGATTACTTGTCTTGCCAGTCTCCAACTCCTTGATGAAGAGTCAGAAGATCCATCAGATAAATCAAAACTTTTGAATAAACCAAGGTATATGGAGCTGCTAAATATTTTTCAAGCCCTGTGGTTTGGATGCACAGCTGAAAAAAGTGGTCCAAGTTCAGGTCAAGAGGCAAGTGAGCAGGCAAAGACAGCCTCTGCATTTAAAGCCCCAAAATCTGTAGATAATGACTTCACTCCTATGTCCTCCTCTGGGGTTGATGTTAGCAGTGGTTCTGATGGCTCAGGAGAAGAGATTACAGCTGGTGCCAGGAACTGCACTTTAACGGCACAGAAAACCGCTGAATTCAAATCAGCTGGACAAGTCGAAAATGTAGAGACTGGAACTGAACTGACTGAGGCTGAGGAGCAAAGTAAAGAGGAAGAGCAGTCATCCCGACCTTCAACAGCCTGCTCAAAATCCAAAGGTGAGGAAAAAGCACAGTCTACTAGAGAGGACTCTCTAATTCAGGAGGCAGAAGAGAATAAGGAGGATCAGTGTAGTAATTGTGAAAATGGTCAGGAGGAAGGGAGAGAAAATGAAAATGAAGAAAACTGCAAACTAGCTGAAAATGGAGAACAAGAAGAAGCTGAAGCTGTGAATGATGAACTCCCAAAAGAAAATCTTGAAGAGAAAGCTGATCAGCTAGCCACTACTGATGATACAAATGTCAATGATGTTGATTGTGGGACAGAACTGAAAGCTGATTTGGAAGAGCAGCTTGAAAAAGAGTCTCCAAATGACCCAGAGCCCAAAGTCGATATCGCCACCAGTGTGGGCACATCCCTTGTCCAGCAAAACTCAAGGGATCCAGATCCAGTCTGGGTCCTGAGACTGCTCAAGAAAATCGAGAAAGAGTTCATGGCTCACTATGTCAGTGCCATGAATGAGCTCAAAGTCAGGTGGAACCTGCAGAACAACCAGCAGATGGATGAGATGATACTGGAGCTGAAGGAGGAAGTGAGTAAAAGGATACAAAAAAGTATAGAGAAGGAGCTGAGGAAGATCAAAACCAGAGCAGGGAAGAAGACACCAAGACCGCCAGATGAACCACTCAAGCGCGAGACAACATTCCAAACTGAGCAGAGGAGACGGCGATTGCAGACTATGCATAAAAAGTCACTCTTCAGTGACAAGAATGGAACCCAGAGTAGGCTAGGGGACACATCAGACTTATCATTTGATATAGATATAGATGAAGATACAGCATTTAGTGCAACTTTTGAGGCCAGTATTAGTAAACAAACAAGTGAGGAGGAATACTGCCCATGTAACTCTTGTGCGAGGAAAAAAATGGCTTCCAAGCCCACAAGAAACCCAGTGGTGGCCACCAATGCCCCAGTCATGAAAGCATTTGATTTACAGCAAATCCTGAGGTTGAAGAAAAATGATAATGAGGAAGCCTGTGTCTCAGAAGCAGCCCAGGACATCAAAACAATTCCCAGCAGTTCTGTCAAAGAAGCAGCAGCAAACAGCAATCCAAACGAGGAGAATGATGAGGGTGAACTTCAGCCAACTGAAATGGAAGTGGAGGGCAATGAAGAAAAGGAGCCAGAATTAAATAAAGTGGGCAGCTCAATGTTGAACGGAGATGGAGAAGGACCTGAAATATCAGAGAGTCAAAACTGTGAGAAGGAGGATGAGGTTAAAGATGAAGAAACCAAAGAAGAAGAAAAGGAAGAAGCAGAAGAGGTGGGGGAAGAAATGAAAGAAAGAGAAGAAGAAGAGGAAGCAAAAGAGGAGGAAGAAGAGAAAGAGGAAGAAGAAATTATGAAGGCAGAAGAAGAGGAGGCAGAGGGAGAAACAAAAGAGAAAGAAGATGAGGAAGTAAAAGAGGAAGCAGCAGAAGAAACAAAGGAGGAAGAGGAAATAAAAGAGGAGAAGGAGAAAGAGGAGGAGGAAGAGGAAGTGAAGGAGGAAGAAATAAAAGAGGTGGAGGAGGAAGAAACAAAAGAAAAAGAGGAAGACATGAAGGAGGAGGAAGGAACAAAAGATGAGGAGGAAGACATGAAGGAGGAGGAAGAAGGAACAAAAGATGAGGAGGAAGACATGAAGGAGGAGGAAGAAGGAACAAAAGATGAGGAGGAAGACATGAAGGAGGAGGAAGAAGGAACAAAAGATGAGGAGGAAGACATGAAGGAGGAGGAAGAAGGAACAAAAGATGAGGAGGAAGACATGAAGGAGGAGGAAGAAGGAACAAAAGATGAGGAGGAAGACATGAAGGAGGAGGAAGAAGGAACAAAAGATGAGGAGGAAGACATGAAGGAGGAGGAAGAAGGAACAAAAGATGAGGAGGAAGAAGTGCAAGAAGAGGAAGAACTAACAAAGGAGGAAGAGGAAGCAAAAGCAGATGAGGAAGAAACAAAACAAGAGGAGCAGGAAGTGGAAGAAGAGGAAGAAAACCCAAAAGAGGAGGAGGAAGAAGCAAAAGAGGAAAAAGAGGGAGCAAAAGATGAGGAAGAAACAAAGGAAGAGAAAGAGGAAGCAAATGAGGAAGAGGAAGAGCAAGAAGAAGAAACTCAGAAAGAAGAGCAGGAGGCTGAAGAGAAGTCCAAAGCTGAAGATGAAGCTGACAATGAAGCTGAAGAAGCAGAGGAGCCAGAGGATGAGGACATTGGGGCTGATGATGAGGAAGAGACATCCAAATGCAGAGGAGATGCTGATGGCTCTGGAACTGACAACAGTCCTGAAGGAGATGGTACAGAAGGAAGTGAGAAAGCTGAGCAGGATGAAGCTGAGGCAGTGGAAGATGAAAATCCAGAGTCAAAAGATGAGGCATGTTCAGCTGAGGAGGAAAACAACAGTGAAGGAGCTGACAAATATGATGAGAATGATGAGGAACCTACCAGTGATGACCCTGACAAGGCACATGAAAAACACAAAGACAAAGGCAACAACAAGATTTCTGAGAAAGCCTCAAAGGCCAAATGCAAAAAAAACAGCAAATGGCTAAAGACTCTGAACAAAGCAGTCGCCTTTTCTTGTTTTTCTTCCATGAGAAACTTCTCACAGCAATCCCAGAAGGGGTCTGAAGATGAAAGTGAAGAGGAATGCGAAGATGACAACAACCCCATGAACAACCACTCCAACGGAGAGGTTCAAAGTAATGAGAGCAGCAAACCCTCACAGATGTATCCTGACAGTGACGAAGAAGAGGACAAAGCATCTTCATGCACTGATCCTTTAGGAGATGAGGACCAGGCAGATGCTGAAGGTGCAGATCCAAAGGAGGCTGAACATACCGATGACGTTCAGGATTCTAAAAAGAAAGAAGACTCTGATGAGATTGACCAGGATGACCTGGACTTCTAGAACTGCTTATCAAAAACTGTTTTTTTCTTTCTTCCTTTCTTTCTTTTTTAAAAGTATATTTTCATTACATATTACAGTATCTCCAGTGAGTTGAGCCATCATAACTGGCTTTTCTTCTGAGTTAAGTGTGGTAAACTTGATCTTGAATCCTGTGAGTAACGTTGCAATTACCTGCCCTCATTTCTAGAGGGCTAGTAAACTCTTTAAGAGTTAGTGGTTTCAATAGAAAAGTGGTTTGGGGAAAGGGAAGGCTGTTTTGTTTGTGATACCTTCTTGTTCCTACTCTTTAAGCCATGCTGTTTGCTGCTTGAGTGATCTGTGGCTCTGCTGGGCATCATCTCTGAGTGACTTCAGGATGCCTTTCGTCTGTTGCATGCCATTTTCCTGGAAAGATTGCCAATCCACAGAAACGTGACAAAATCTGGATTCATTGCCAAAGTCTGGTCAGAGCCCACAGAGATGTACATTCATTTTCCCCCCTACCCTACCCTACCCTACCCTACCCTACCCTACCCTACCCTACCCTACCCTACCTTCTATGTACCCAGAAAAGGGGTCTGAGATATCAAAGTCTTTCCCCACTTCCTCTATTTTTCTTTAGTAGAGGTTGAGATCATTCCTCACTTCACTGGAAATCCTCAACACCCAGAAGGGTCATTCCAGTAGATCTCTCCTCTTCCCGACCACCAATCTGTTTGTACCGTGCCCATCACTGTAGTATGTAGTGATGTAGCAGTAGATAACAAAGAAAAGTTAATTCACCTGTCAGGTATCTGAGAAGTGGTTGAATGCAATATTGACCAAATTAGAAATGAGTAAAGTGCAATTCCTTGTGATTACCTTTACTATGCCAATGATGGTATCTAAGCACTTTACAATCATCTGAGATCCCTCAGACAATTTTGTACGAGGCCCTGTTCTGAAGTTAATAGGATTTGCAATTGCTCAGTGCCTCGCCCTTGCAGACAACCAGTAATATTTAAACTAATTTTACCTTTAACTTGGAAAAGGTTTGGGCATTTGTGCTGCAGCAAACAACTGGAAGAGGCTCAAGCGTTTACCGGAGAGGTTGGACTTTACAAATCACGATAGAACTGCAGACTTCATTTAACAACTATTTTCTACCAGATTATATTTTTTTTTCCCTTGGGGCAATATATACATTTCTGAATAAATGCCCAACTAATGTCAGGAGCAGTTTGACCTTGCTTCAGCTGCATACATGTTTATACCTCTTTGGGAAACAGTCCATTGTATCAATAATTTGCAGGGAGAATAAAACAGCAAAAAACTAAGAGAGGGTGAAAACAAAATGCCTTAAATTGTATGGTGAAAAAGTATGTGTGTAGTATTGTGCCAGGTTTGTGAAGGTGCAGGCAGACATGTTGAAATAATCAATATTCAAAATCGCATAATTAATATTGTTATAATTTTAAGAATTAATTTCTTAAACTCATAGCCAATCAATTGATTTCCAGAGATAAGATTCATTTCACTCAAATTAAGAATTGGGTTCAGCTCCAGATGTGCATACTTAATTTTAGGTGTCTGAGAAATAGGAGTCTATGTGGAGTAGTCAGTGGAGAGCTAGATCTCAGCTGAGCTGCCCTCACAAAGGCTTACAGTGCCACCTGAGATCCTCCAGGGAGTCCAAGACAACCACACCGTCCTCAAGACACAGAAGTTAAGAAAGATCTGGGCCTTCCTAAAAAGAAGGGCAGCCCCATCTGTAACTTCATGTGGGTGTCTTGGGCTTCCTAGGACACCTCAGCTGGGACTAATCTGTCTCTAGATGCAACTCAGTTGAACCCTGAACTTATCTCAAAGTTTGATATCTTGTCTCATCTGGTAATCTCAGTTCCATGTTTTCTCTGTAGACATTTCCAGACCTAAGATTACTAGTTTTCAAACAGCTTAGGGCCTATGTAGTTGTTTAAACATAGAAGTTTAGTGCCAGTTGAGAGGGCCTAGGAAATCCAGTATCACACCCCAGTGTGGGTCTGAAGGGGTGCAGATCTCCTGTAGGTCCAGAGTCATATCACAAGCTCCTTGTAAATGTCAGGGCTGCTCCAGGGCGTCTTAAACTGCATTAGTCATGGATATAAAAAACCTGAATCATAGAATCATAGAATCCACCCCTAAAATTGTGCAAACAAATCCTACCTCAAGAAACTGAAGTACAAGGTTAAAACTAAACGTTAAAACTCAATTGGCTTTGAAGTACAGGAAAAGGAAAACTTACTCTCCTCTGACACAGCAACGCTTACGCATTTTCTAGTATCTCAGTATTGCACTAATAGGTTAATTCCCACATCTAGGGTACATGATGAACACCATACCTGCTCCAAGGGCCAGTCCTGTAGCTTCTGTACCATTAAAGCTCCCTTTAAGGTGTTATTTGAAGGTTCAAACAGAAATTGTTTTGCATGAGCTCAGTGCTGGGCTTTGCACCTAAGTGAACATTGCTTATATGAGCTGGATTTGATTGCAAATGCCTTCAAGCACCCACCGATCACAACAGACTTGATAGTCCACCTGAATCCTCCTTGTCTAGACCTATGCTCATGGTTAAAGACAGTACCCACACAGCATCAGTGATCTCTCTGGCATTTACTGTCTGGGTCAGAAAGGCACAGTGCTGCTGCAGGGCAACTTTCCCCTTCTGTAGCGATGTCCCATGACACCAATATTCTGACTCTCTATTAAACCTTTCCAAGGCTTCCACAAGCCAATTCAAAAACACTTTATAAGGTGTCCAGAGCGAGAAGTGTCAAAAATACAGTTACATCCATTGATTTATAATTAAGGGAAAGGCACCAAGGAGAAAGTTATGACTGGCCTGGATTCATACCGCTAGCTCTAAGCATGTGCGTGCGGTGTTTTGACCTGGGTTCTCCAGGCAATATGAACAGACAAGGTCTCCCAGCAATTATTCAGTGTGACACAGGACTGTCACCTGGAGGGGTGAAGCCCATGGACCGTAGCCTAATCCAGGCACTTTGAGCAAACATTTGAATTCAAGCTGTGAACTACCCCTGCAACCTGGAAGTTGGCCGGGTACCACCAGGCTGCTTGGTTCAAAACCCAGCCTAGGGACATTGGGTGAAGGCTGCAGCACCTTTGTTCACTGATGTCTGCTAGGCAGCTATTCCAGATGCCAGGGAAAAGGTGTTTGCTGCTGAAAGAAGCCTGTTATTCAGTGCTTGTCAGTCCCTGCAGGAGAATAGCTGGCCCAGTCTGGCTGCTCAGTGGCCCTGCAGCGTGCGTCTTTCCACGTCAGCAGCGACTGGCAGGTACAGAGTCATGTGTAGAAGCATTTTCGTTTCACAGGGAGCAAAGTGAAATATTTGCTTTCTGACGCATCGATTCTTGCAGGATTCAGAAATGCGCTGAGCCGGGTAGTCATAGCTCTGGTCTTGGCACGAGACATACACTGGAAGTGGTACATTGACTTAACTTTAAACATTTCTGGTGAAGATGTCTCCCTCTGAGCCTGCCATCCAGACTCCCATTATAACCAGTGGGGAGAGAGAGGCAAAGAAGAGCGTGATTCATCTGCTGTAGACAACTATGTTAGGAGGAGATGAATTACACTCTCAGCAGGCTGTTTCTCTCTGCTGACTGCAAAGGGAGTCTAGACAAGTTGCTCAGATGGAGATGTCTCATATGGGAAAAGCTGACCCCAGTGTAGCTACCCAAAAGCATCTTACAATGCTTACGGTGGTGACTTGCAGACTTTGCCAGGCAGCAGCTCAAGCCAGTCATCCCATGGAAGTTTTAAAGATGTTTGTTGGCTCCAAGATCACCCTTCTCTGCTATTGCTAAAGGCCACTGCTGGAACTTAACGGGTTAGTAAAAGGGCAAACATTTCCCAGGTTTTCTCCTCCAGCTGTTGACTTTGCTCATTTTAAAGCCGCTTGTGCATAGTCAACATCACACCCCATCCATGTTTAATCAGCAAGTTCCCCGCTTGCAGCACCAGCAAGGAGAAAGAAATCAAATAAAACACAAAAATGCAATCGTCAAACCACGAAAACTGAAATCACCGGAGTTCCCCCCCCCATGAGACCTGTCCCACTCATGTCTGTGTTTGTCATCTTCTGTGTTTGGGCAGTGACTCAGGCGTGTGCCCGTCCTCGTCGGGGCAGCGTGGGCTCTGCACCCACACAGCCTGCTCACAAAAAGCCCCACTCAGAGGGGCCGGGGAGCAGCCGCGGTGTCAGTCCAGGATACAGATATTGCTGAAGTAGATGCTTCTTTCCTCCATCAGTCTCTCCCAGGATGGCCCAGAGCATCCGTGAACGAAGCACGCAGCCGAAAAGGATCCCTCGCAATTACATCTCTCGCGCTTGCACTGCTTCCAAAGTTTACATTTCCCCTTGGCTGGTATGACTCACGCGCGTGTTCAGTCTTGCAGCTTCCCTCTCCCTCTTACAGCACGGGAACACGTGTTACCAGCCAGCTCCAGAGCTGTCACGTTTATACCGGCTGGAAAGATAAAGCCTGTCACCACCTGGAGGGGATTACAGCCGCTGGCTTTCGGCAGAGCTGAGGAGGAGGGAGAGAGGCAATGCGAGACTTGCACAGCCGTACGGCGTGTTTGGCTGCGCGTAGCCGTATGGCATGTTTTGCTGTGCATCTCTGTTTCTCTTTTGGGTGGTGGTTTTTTTTTTTTTTTTAAACCAGCCAGACAAACTGCTTCTTGATGTATGTCGGTTATGTTTGCTTGTTTGTTTTTTAAATAGGAAATGTTCAGTGAAAAATGACGAAGAGCATGGTGAAAATGGAAGTGTAAACCACTGAAATAAAAGAAATGTGCTTTCTAAAGCTGAGATCTTCGCAGATGTGTGCAAGCAGACACTTCTCTCCCTAATGGAGAGCAATAATCCCCCTTTTCTTGCGGGTCCTTGCTGACCTAGCACCGTATTTAGCTCCAGCCACTTGAAATCCCAGCTGCCTTACAGGAAGGGGTGGTTTGTTGTTATTTCTGGACCTCAGGC